GGGAGGTGGCGGGGAGGGGAGGCGCATTGAGGAACCTGACCTTGGGGCAGCAGAGAGAGCAAATCCGGCCCTGACTCGACTCCAGGGGTTGCTGCACATCATTGCTCATGGTAGGTTTCCTGATAGTGACTACAATGGGAAAATGTCTGCACAATGAGCGTTTTCAGGGCATTTCCAGGGCAACTTGTAGCTACAGTGATCCCAAAAGGCTTTGTCACCCTGTAGCAGGAAGTGCCTGATCAAGGACCTTAATGGCAGGATAATGAAAGCTGCAGATTTAAAAATACTTTCAATTACAGTAATTTATCACGACTTATATAAGTTACTAGTGATTGAGCTTGCATATAGACGTTAAATAATGTTCAATAACTAAATCAAATCATGAAAAGAAACTACAGAGAAAGAAATGGCAAGCCTTGGCACTTAAAGCAGATCTCCATAAATCTGAAAACCCTTGCAATGGAGTTACCCCCACACTGCAAAGGTTAAGGGCTCATTTTTGTCTAAGGGATCAAATAAGTATTTCTTCTTTATTCGGTCCCCTAGACAACAAAGAGCAGGTAACCCTTGCAATACGGGGGTAGCCCCACTGCAAGGGTTAACTTTTCAAATTCCTGGAGATCTGCTTTATCAGGTATGTGAGTATCTATTCCAATCCCATAAGATTCTAAAACACAAAAGAGTTGGTTTAGTCATTGCCATACCCATCATTAAATGGCCTTAATCCCAGAAGGATCAGAAGGAATGTTTTCTTCAAGCATCAGATAACAATACACAAGGTAGGCCTATACCTACACACAATAGAGAATTGTCTTTCACATCACTACATATATATATATACTAAAGCTTAAATCATCATCGGGAGATTTCATAATGTTCCGTTCTCTGGAAGCTTAATCCAACAAAAAGTATTAGTTCTGACTATAATGACAACAATCTAATTAAGACTTTAGTCACATACTTGGCTGCTGAAATGGCCTTCCATTTGATAGCATAGCTTATTAAATATTTACTTAGACAGCATGACTGGAGGAACAGTTTTTTTTGTTATAAAAGCACAAGGAGAGTTGTGTGAATGCAAATAGAAACACACAAAAATCCCAACACATTTACCAGCTAGCCTGCAACAACCCCACCCCCACCCCACAAATTAAAATAACAATGTGAGGTAAAAACAGAGATTTTGGTTGCACAACTTTTGCAAAATACGTGAAAGCCACGCTGCCGCATCATGGCTCCTCTGTGTAGTATCCTAACTCTGATCTATGAGAGCCGCCATCTTGGAGCATGTAGCAATGGATAAACGGAGTGCAGGTATGCTTGGATGTAGCCCATTCCTCCTTAAAGGCTTCATGTGCCATTGGACTGTGCTGCACCCTTTGTGTGTCCCTGTGCCTTTAAGGAGGAAATACCTCCAGGCATACCTGCACTCAATCAGGGGCGTCCTGAGGCCAGGTGTCACCTGGAGCGGATACTGGGTGACACCCCACCGTGACGTAATTGCGCACGCGAGGTCATCTTTTTGATACCTGCCGGCAGCCATCTTGGTGATGGATGCCAGCAGAGAGAGGAGGGGACGTTCACCCGGCGGGATAAGGTATGGCGACAGGTCCCCTCCTCTCTCGCCTGCAGCTGTTGGGCTCTCGGCCCATGACCGAGTGCCCGACTTTTCAGATGAAGTGACACCAAAATGACTGTCAGTCATTTTGGTGTCACCCCTCCAATGGTGTCACCCGGGAGCGGGCCGCACCCCGCAACCACCCTTGCCACTGCATTCAATTCATCCTTGCTATATATGCTTCAAGATGGTGGCTCTCATAGATTAGAGTTAAGGCCACACTACACAGGGGGGCCTTGACAGGATACTGTGATCTCCACATGAGATTTGTAGTCCTCTATAGAGGGTGCCATTCTGCATTGCTGCAATGCAGAATGGTACCTGCTATATAGAACTACAAATACCAGCTGTACTTTATACAGCAATGCCATCAATTGGGCTACAAACAATACATATTTTATTTCTTAACTTACCTTCACCTCCTCTGGCTGTTTCCTGGTGGGGGAGGCTGCAGAAAACTACCCCAGTGTGTGTGTCAGAGACAGCGTGCCCGTGTACTCAGATGGCTGTTTGTTGAGTCCTCACGGCAGAGGCCCAGGGCTGCCCCCTGCAGGATTTTTTTTATTCTCGGCTCCCTCCAAAGTATCTGGAGGCCGACGGGCCCCCTCATCTCTGCGCCAGGAGTGTCGGGTCTTTCCAACACTCCCGGCACAGAGATGAGGGGGCCCACCAGCCGCCGGACACTAATGTGATCTATGGACACTCCCGGCGCAGGGATGAGGGGGCCCACCAGCTGCCGGACACTAATGTGATCTATGGACACTCCCGGCACAGAGATGAGGGGGCCCACCAGCCGCCGGACACTAATGTGATCTATGGACACTCTCGCCGCAGAGATGAGGGGGCCCACCAGCCGCCGGACACTAATGTGATCTATGGACACTCCCGCCGCAGAGATGAGGGGGCCCACAAGCCACCGGACACTAATGTGATCTATGGACACTCCCGGCGCAGAGATCTGCCCCGGGGCTGTGTTTGAATGGATACTGGGCCCCCTCTTTAGGCTCAGGCCCGGTGTGCGAGTGACTATATGGTATTTTGCATTTGATGTGCGGAGGCATTCGCTGTCACTTTCGGCACCCCCCAGATTTAATTTGTGCTTTATCTGGTCAGGAGTGCGATGGGATCTACTACATTTTGATATTGGCCTGGACAGTCACATTAAGACACACTACACAATTGCTGTAAGAGCAAAGAATGTGTAAGACTATGAGAATGGAAGTAATAAGTACAATGGCTATCAGACTGAAAATCTGTGTTCTGTGACTTCAGTTGGGCTTTAAGCATTGAGGCTCACCTGATGATTCAAGCAGTGGGCAGCACCATGTGTAGCATGTTATAACTACAGTAAACTTCCCAATATCCGGCTTCCACTGGGATTGGTAGATTCCATATAAATTTAGTTTCTGGTTGCTTGAGAGTTACTATTAAAAATAGGTCAAACTAATGCCATACTCCATACTATACCATACCATACCATAAACTCTGTATTGACTTCATATTAATATTGAAATGCAGTAATCAAAAGCAAATAAACAAATAGACACACTTAAGACAAATAGACACACAATCATTTCCAGGATAACACATGCCGCAGATCAGCAAAACACAGTACACAGGGGATTTTTTTTTCTGGTTGGATGAGCGTTCTGGTTGAATTCCGGGTAACTGAGAGTTTACTGTACTTGGAAGCTACAGCAGTTCCTACCAATACTTGTTTTCTGGGGGCAAAGGTGGATATTGTGGTGAAGTCAGACTGATCAGCTCTTAATTAGGTTGGCAAGCACATACTCTTTCATTTCTTCTCCTGCCATCTCCACTCAACCAGCTACACTTCCTAAATGCCATTGCCTGCATGAGGTATGGGGAAGCTGAGGAGAGGTGCATGTGGGATGGGTTATTTGTGACTGCTGGAATACTGTAACTATATGGCCGAGGTATGTTGCTGTTGGAAGGACTATTGTATATTGTAACTGCTGGAAGAAGATATTGTGGTTACAGCAAAGAGGTATTGCAGCAGAGGGGCGATATTGTGGCTCTTGGAGATGTACAGTATATTGTTTAGAGAAGGAAATGTTTGTGGCTGTTGGAAATTGTATATTCTAGTTGCTGGAGGAAGATATTGTGTTTCCAGTGAGACGTGCATGGCAGCTGAAGGAGGGAAGTGTATTGTGACTGTTCCCAGCCTGGGAAAAAGGAGTTATTGTGGTTGCTGGAGGAGCGTATTTACTGCTGTACATAAGGGGAGGTAGCTGCTGGAGGCAGGTTTTGTGGTTGCTGGATAGAGTCATTGCATGGCTGTCATATATTTTATATATTATATGTTATTTATCATCTGCTATTCACCCTGTTTTGTTTATACATTAAAATGTGAATAATGTTTTGGCAGCAGAATTACTTTTTTAAATCAAGCTACTATTAAACTTTTTGATTGGAGTCAAGTTGGTATTTTGGGCAAATGTCTGCATATGGTAGTAGTTTGCTTTTAAATATGGAATTGATTTAGCAAACCAGAAAAATGGAGGAGGGAAAAAGTTTGTAATTGTACCCTAACCTCGGACTACCAGTTTTCCTGCTGGTACCCAGTTAAATGACCATAGGTCTCTTCCACCATTATACTCATCATTACATCATGCCATGCAATTTTTAGTTGCATGAAAAAATAGAACATTAAAGGTACGTGTTTCCTCCTTATCCCCACTCTCTGACTTGAGCTATATTCTCATCACTCTTTAACATTTCTGTGATAGACACCGATCAGCCATAACATTATGACCACTGACAGGTAACGTGAATAACATTGATTATCTTGTTACAATAGTACCTGGAAGTGGGTGGGATATATTGGCAGCAAGTGAACATTTTGTCCCTGACGTTGATGTGTTGGAAGCAGAAAAAAAATGGGAAAATGTAAGGACTTGAGTGACTTTGACAAGGGCAAAATTGTGATGGCTAGATGACTGGGTCAGAGCAACTCCAAAACTGCAGCTCTTGTGGGACGTTCCTGGTCTGCAGTAATCAGGACATACTAAAAGTGGTTCAAGGAAGGAAAAACGGTGAAATGGCGACAGGGTCATGGGCAGCCAAGCCTCACTAATGCTTATGGGGATCGAAGGCTGACCCATGCAGTCCGATCCAATAGAAAAGCTACTGTAGCTCAAATTGCTGGTTCCAATAGAAAAGTATCTGGGCACACAGTGCATGGCAGTTTTTTGCGTATGGGGCTGGATAGGCAGAGGAGGAGGCAGTGTAATGCTTTGAGCAATGTTCTGCTGGGAAACCTTGGGTCCTGCCATTCATGGGGATGTTACTTTGACACATACCAGCTACCTAAACATTGTTGCTGACCAAGTGCACCCCTTCATGGAAATATTATTACCTAATGGCAGTGGCCTCTTTCAGCATGATAATATGCCCTGCCCTCAGCAAAAATGGTTCAAGAACGGTTTGAGGAACACAGCGCGTTTGAGGTGTTGACTTGGCCTCCGAATCCTCCAGATCTCAATCCAATCCGGCATCTGTGGGATGTGCCAAAAAAACAAGTGCGATCCATGGAGGCCCCACCTCACAGGGCTTAAAGGATCTGCTACCGACGTATTGGCGCCAGATACCACAGCCTACGGTACCTTCAGAGGTCTAGCAGAGTCCATGCCTCAATGGGCCAGGGCTGTTTTGGCAGAAAAAGGCGGACCTACTCAATATTAGGCGGGTGGTCATAATGTTATGGTTGATTGGTGCACATGCTGCATTTATTGATAATAACTGAGGACTCTGTAAAGAATGTATCTGTTTGTATGTGGGGGAATATTGTCAGTCCTTGTATGTGACAGGATATTGTCTGCCTGACAATATTCAGACAGTCACAATCCATCTAGTCTAGAATATTGTTTTAGTTCTAAACTCAAAATAATTACATATTGCAAGGAACAACATTTCCAGCCATTTCTGATGCCACATCTGCTGGTGACACCTTGTTTTGCAACCCAACCATCTGAATTTGGTTTGCATAGTTTCTTGAACAGCAGTGGAAGAAGTCTTGTATCCTGTTTTCTTATACCAGGGTAGGAAGTAGTATTATCTGCACTGACTGACTTTTAGGTAAAAGTGTGTTTATACTGAAGCACATTGGTGACTTAATATACAATGGAGGCCATGTTTCTTATAATGTAATATCCTTTCTAAACAGTAATCCTGGTTTGGTTTTTATTGGGTTTTTTTTCTCACAAATTCAATTTTAACGCTTAACCTGCAATGTGAGAGCTAGAAAGACCAGGCAAAGATTACAGACTGACGCATCTGTACGAGCATCTTCAAAAGCAATCAAATAAGATACAGAGCCAGCAACTTCAATAAAAATATAAATAATATTTGTTTATTATGATTTCTACAAATAGAAGTATTTATAGATTTAGCAATGAGGTAGAAAATCACTTTTAAGATAATTCAAATATTATTAATGGTAAAACTGATTGGAAAGTTGAATTGATACAAATATCACTATAATTACCACTATCAATTATTGATTTTACAAATACCAATTTTATGGCATTTTATACTACTTATACTATTACTTATAATGATATTAACAACATAGATAATTATTTGTTCTGTTATTGCTCTAGAAATAATTTTTCAATACGCTAGCATTTAATACTGTAGAGATTGTTGTAATGACAAATACAAATAATAATAATAATAATAATAGCAAAGGTAGTAATAATTATGACATTATTACAATAACCATCTATAATTGGGCCAGTTATTATTAATCAGCATCCAGCATAAATAATAATGGCAATAGCAAAAAAATTAAGAAATTAGTGTCAACTATAGTAGTGGAAAAAAAAGAAGTTTTTATATAGGTCCTTGTGTTATTGTTCTGGTAATAGCCTATGTTAATCTACAACCTAACAATGTAAAAAATAAAATATGTTTTGAAAACAATAAAAGTTATATTTAAATATAATATTAAAAAGCAGAGCAAGTGATAATAATAAAATCATTATTACAACTAGGAAGTATATTATGAATAATACATATTAAGTAACAAAAATACTAACCACATTAATTGTAATCATAGTAATAATAATAGAAAAAAATAATAGCAATAATATTTGTTTTGTTGTTATACTAGTAATAGTCAAACATGCAACAATGGAGTAGAAAACAATATTTTTTTTGCTGACAATAATTGTCAATTATAGCAACCTTTATAAACATCACTTATATAATATTGCTATAATAGTACAATATTACTACTATATTATTATTATTACTTCTACTACTGCGATTGCTATACAGTACAATATAATAATGCTAATTGGCATTAAAAAACAATACTTTCTATTAGCACATAATTATCAGTGTGGCAATTACTAATACTATGCCTTTAGCATTCTTATCATCCACGAATACTATAAAAATAGAATTTTCTTACGGGTCGAAGTTGCTAGGTTCTCCCCCATGGAAGATGGCAAGAAGCAGGCACAGTCCCAGCGTAGAGCTCCACATTCTGCAGCCCAGATATCTTGGTCAGGAGAAGGAGGACTGCAGAGACCGGGCTTTATAAGGCTCCATCTGTGTACAGCCTCCCCCCCCCCCC